GTCACTATGTCTTGCAGGGACATAGATCTACTCTGTCCTCTAGGGGAGGGGGGGGTCGTTCTAAGTTGGAATCCACTTGGTGGCAATGAGTTTGGGTTTGTTTCTCAGTTTCCTAACCCTCTTGAATGACTCCCTACCAACCCTCCCCCCAAAGGAAGTCCTCTCAGTGGGGAGCCTTTTATTCACTCTTCTCTGCCCTCCCCCATTAAGGAGGCCCAGTGCACAGTGGGTTACGTGGAAGGTTGGAGGTTCAATACCACCCATCAGTGGGCCCAGGGGAGAAAGCTGTGGCGTGGCGGCCTGCTTCCTTGCAGACAGAGGATGGACAGGCCTGGCCTCCCTGGGAAGCTGGTCTGCCCCATCCTGCAGAGCGGCTGTGTGTTGGAAGGAACCCTGTGGCTCTGGGCTCCCCATCTCAAAAGCAGATGCTCCAGAAACTGGTCCAAAATGGGGAGGGGGGTATGTTTTCCCGAGCCCACACCCATATGTGCCAGTCCCCTGGTCCTGCCCTGCTGGAAGCTCTGTGCTTCAGGGCAAACAGAGAAACCTGCTGTCATTTTCCCAGACGGGGCTGCCAGGGCACCAGGACCTGCCAAGGCAGACCTGGTGGGCCTGGGGCCTGGCATTGGGACACCCCCCGACTATCCTCCCCCCCGGCCCCCTGCCGGGCAGTGCACCTTCCAGCGCCTCTTCATGAGGTATCTCTTCAGCAGGATTTGAGACTTAAGGCGCCGGTTGCAACGCTTGGCTTTCTCTGCCAGGTTGTTGAGCCAGGGGTGGGCGAGGCACTGTGCCGCGCTCATTCGGGCCCTGTAGGGAGGCAGGGGGCAGCATGGGGACCGTGGGGGTGGCTGACAGGGCACTGGAGCCTCGCCGGCCTCCTGGCCTGTCCCAGTGCGCACACCGCCTGGGGTCCACCAGCTGGGGACGGCCTTACCCCTGGTCCTTGACGATGAGGTGGGACACAAAATCTTTGGCCTCGTCGGACACGGCCTCAAAGGTCTCCTCGTCAAAGTACCAGTTGGCAGACAGGACGTTGTTGAGGGTCTCCGTGTCATCGTCCCCCAGGAAGGGGGAGAGGCCGCTCAGCCTGAGGGAGGGAAGGGGTGAGAAGGGAGCCGGGAGCTGGGATTAGAGACCCTGTGTCGCCCTGGGGCGTTGAGTTAGTTAATTGTGCCAGCCTGGCCAATGATCACATGTGGGGCTAATTGAAAGGCAGAGGGATAAATGGGTGGTGAGCCTCGCCTTTCTAGTTCTCGGGTCTCTTGTCTTGCACCGGGTGCAGCTGCCCTAGCAGTTCCCTGCTTCAGCTTCCAAGATCAACTTCCTACAAGACATCCCCAAGGAGAAGCCACATGGACCTATCCCGATGCAGCCCTGGGTGCTGGAGCAGCCGTGTGGAGACCCCTGCTAGTGCTGAGATGCTTGTTCGTTCACTGACTCAGCTTTCCTCCTGCAGTCGGCATCATTGCCTCTGTTTTGTGAGGTGGAGGACTGTGTGGACTGGTGTTGGGTTAATGGGTTAATGTTGGACTTCTGGGCTTGGGCAGCATTGGGTTGGGATGTTTTCATGATGCACACGTTCTTTACATAAAACTCTCTCTTATACATGAGTCGCTGTGGATTTGTTTCTGCAAAGAACCTAGACTAATATAGGCGTCGAGGGAAGGGGACAGCTCCTTGGAGGTAACGTAATATGCTAGAAAGAACCCCCAGCCTCTTGAGTGGGACAGACCTGGGTTTGAATCTGCCTGGGTGACCTTGGACAAGTCACTTCCCCTCTCTGAGCCTCACTCTTCTCATCTGTAAAATGGGCAGGATCATCCCAGCTCCCCACCGTTAGGGTGAACTTGAGGAATGAGGAGTGCACAGATGGCTGCCGCTCCTCCACCCCACCCTGGGGTGGTCAGAGAGCCGCTCTCCAAACCCTGGGCTGGGACGCCGTGTTTCCCAAGGCCATTAAAGGCCGTGGCTTATTCACTCATAAAATGGGTAAAAAGCTTCCCTTCCCTGGCTCTCCCTAGCACTCCCCATCCTCCCCCCCCTCAAAAAACAGACTGGGGGTCCCATGGAGGTGGGCCCACCTCACCAGGACTCCAAGACCAATCTCGGGCCTTGGCTGCCTGCCCATGTGCTCCCACCCCGTAAACACCACCCTCCCTCGGGGCTCACAGCATGTAGGTGATGACCCCCATACTCCACATGTCTGTCTTATCGGAGATTTGGTCGTAATTCACCACCTCAGGTGACAGGAACTCGGGGGTCCCAAAATTCACCTTCAGCTTCTCATTGGGGTTGTACCTGGGGGAGACAAAGCGCTCAGAGCACTGCTCCTAGCCACTGGCCACCACACCCCCCTGTCCCTCTAACACCAGACACACCCCCAACGCTGACCTCAGACGCCTGCCCAGTTTCCCACCCACCCCAAAAACCCCTTCCGAGGGTGGTACCTCCGTGCCAGACCAAAGTCGATGATCTTCACCAAATGGCCCGTGGTGTTAACACACAGAATGTTCTCGGGCTGAGGAGGAAGGAGGGCCTGGATGGGCCTCTGACCCAGTTCACCCCATCCCGCCCCAAGGTCACAGAGCCCGGATGGCCAGGATGCATGGACTGGCCCTTGGGACCACCCGGACA